CTTGTGGGCTGGACCAGGGCCTGCTCTCATCCTCCCAGCTCTGACCCACCCAGGGTGGGCCCGGGTGAGGGGCCAACACAGGCCTTTCAGGGCTGGGCAGGAAAGGCCTCCTGCCACCCCCATGCCCGACAGCCTCCAGATCACACAGACAAGGGGAGGTTAATATCTAATCCGGTCTTCATTCCAGAGTCAGACAAACCAGTTTGCCACTGCTTAACCGAAGGTACCTCACCTTTCCCCAAGGCGAGGGGGGCAGGGCCGGACCACCCCACCCTCCTCTGCCCTTCGGCCATGACACAGGAGCTCCATAGATTCTCCAGAACCCGGGAACCTGATTGCCCTCCGTCCCTTGTGCCCAGCCCAGGACTGGACAGCTGGTAGCACTGGGGGGTGTTGGTTAAATTCAGGTTATAAATCGGTGCCCGCCTCTCCTGCCACCCCTCAGGTGTCACTGGGTGAGAGAAGTTGCTGCTTGCTCCACAGACGTGCAGCAGCCCAGGGATGGGCCTCCCAGCCTCACGGACGCCACAGCGGCCAGTGTTGGGAGCGGAAAGCACACTGGGGTCTGACCCCGGCCCCGAGCTCCGGGCGCCTGGCCTAGCCGTGTCCCCCTCTGTGCTCCAGAGCCTCAGCTGTAAAAACAGAATGAGAAGGCCTAGGACCACATCCTCACCTCCTCTTCCCTCAACCCGCTCTTCCTGCAGCCTTCCCCATCTCAGTTAAGGGCAACTTCATCCTTCCGGTTCCTCAGGCCAGAGTTTGGGGCTACCCTTGCCTCCCAACCCCGACCCGCACCCCACATCCAATCCATCGGTAAAGTTCTGGTGGCTCAGCCTTCGAAACACACCCACGGAGCAAACTGCTTCCAGTGGTGCCAACCTGCCCCACGCCATGTTACGGCTCCTAAAAGAGCATCTGGTGTGAGCCAAGATGAGCTTGGCACCTTCAAAGAACCTCCTCCTCTCGTCTACTCATAATAACTTAAAAACTCTTTCCCTCGTTCATTCATCAAACACTGATGGCACATGGCCTGTGCAGGGCACGGGAGTCACTGTAACAAAGAGGACCCTATATTGACCCAGGAGGGGCCCTTATGCTGGGGTTTGGGGGAGTAAGACACATCATCGGCATGACGTCATCACAGCCACACAGGTCCTGTGCCAGAAAGATATGGAAGGAAGGCTTCCTGGAGGAAGAGGGATTTGGGCTGGGCCTTGGAGGACAGGGGGCTCTCATACAGGGGTGCAGAGCACAGATGCCCCAGACAGTGGGCACGGCATGTGCAAAAAGGGCTTCAGGGCAGCAGTCAGGGGAGGCGGCTTGAGAAAGCATCACTTGTTGATATGGAAGTGGGAGCATTGTGAAAACCCTCATTCTTGGAGCCATGCAGGACAAGAGAGAGCATGGTGAGCTCAGGACATGCCAGCATTCAGTGGGGTGGTGTCAGGGGTGAGGAGGAAGAGGGAGGCGGAGAGGTTGGCGGGAGCTGACCCGCTGTGCAGAGCCTTAGGGACAGGGGTAAGAAGTGTGGGCTTCACCCTGAATGCAGTCAGGGCCCCGAAGGGCTCTACATGAGAGAAGCGACAGCCAGATTTGTACTTTAGACTTACCACTCTGGCTTCTGAATGCAGATGCCCTGGAGGGGTGACCCATGGATGAATAGACCAAGGAGGCAGGTCTGCATGGAGGTTAAGGCGTGGACACTGGGGTCCCGTGACCTGGGCTTAAAATCCACCCCTCTACTTCCTACTTGGGCAGGGCGGGGTGCAGGGCTTGTCTCTCCATCCAGCATAACCGTGTCAGGCACTGTGCTGAGTGCTGGGGTTAGAGACACGGTTCCTGCCCGGAGAGAGCTTACATTCTAGTGGTCAGTTACTCGTCTTAGAGCCTCAGTTTCCTCTCCTGTAAAATGGGGATAATGATCATACCTGCCTCCCAGGCTGGATGTGATGAATAAGTTAGGATGCGTTAACAAACCAACAAACAAACCAAAAACAACAACAACAAAACCCCGCTTAGTGTAGTCCCTGACACGTGGGGGCAATTGTTGTTATGTGATTAGTCCAGGCAAGAAGCCATAGAGAGAGTCAAGGATGTGTGTTATGATAGAATTATGTCCCCCTGGCCCCAAGTCTGTATGTTAAGTCCTAACCCCCAGGACTCAGAATGTGACTGTATTTGGAGATGGGTCTTTAAAGAAGTGATTAAGGTAAAATGGTCACTAGGGTGGGTCCTAACCCAAATGTCTGTCTGTCGTCTTTGTAAGAAGAGGAGATTAGAACACAGACACACAGAGTGGGACAGCCATGTGAGGACCCAGGGAGAGGACAGCTGTCTACAAGCCAAGGAGAGAGGTCAGAAGAAACCAACCCCAAGGACAGCTTGATCTCTGACCTCCAGCCTCCAGAACGGTGAGGAAATACATTTCCGTTGTTTAAGCCCCTGTCTGTGGTGTTTGTTACAGCAGCCCTCGCAGACAAATACAGTTAGAAAGAGAGGGGTGAGGGAGACAAGGTGCCAGGCGGCAGGAGCCGACCAGAAAGGAAGAGGGGAATTCGAGTCGCCTGGGAGACCGGGCTGCCCAGCGCCGAGCAGGCACTGGATAAATATCTGTCGAGTAAGATTGGATTCTACCCTAGAGGGGACTTGAAGGGGGAGCTGCGATGGTGGGAGAAGGCAGGACAAGCCTGATAGGGCCGGGCAGTGGGCTACGGCCTGGCCACTGTGGGAGAGAGATCTCTAACCTCGACACTGCCCAGCACCCCAGTCATGGAGCACACTCACCCCACGACTGCACATCATGACTCTTCTGCTCTGCAAGGGGACACCCTCAGTCCCCCCACTTTACTGAAGAAGCAGCTAAGGCTTGGGAAAGGGGCAAGGACGACCCCAGGGAGAACCAGAGCCAGGGCCTGTGCAGGACACGGGTTTGGAGCCTGGGGGAGAGGCGGGGCTGCTGGGAGCCGCCAAGAGCTGGGGGGAGATGAGTGGGCTCCCCAGGGCCAGGAGCCCAGCTTTTTTTGCTTGTGCTTTTTTTTTTTTTTTTTGTCTGGTTTTAAAATGACAAAGCGCAGGAAAGCTTCTCTTCCAGGCCTGTTGAAGGTGGCCGAATGCTGGAAGCAAATGTTTGCTGGGGAGGTGGGGGTGGGATGCGGGTGGTCACCCATAGCTTCTCTGACTTCTAAAGAAAAGGGTCATGGAAACTGGCTCAGGCCTCTCCGACCCTTGGAGAAACATTTCTGGGTCAAGAATTTCCAACCCATAAATTCTCCGAGTTTCAAATTCTAAGGAGGCTTGTGCAGGGCTGGGGTTTGCATAACCTTTCACATCACAGAATTTCCTGCTTTGCGGCCTCCCAACAAGCAGTCCTCTAGGCCAGGGTTCAGAAAGACAAGGTGTGAAGGACTGAGGTATATAAACAGACCTAAGTCAGACTGAAGCCCAGGGCCCTGGAATTCACTTGATCAAAAAGGGGAAAATTTTTTTTCTTTTGCCAAAATTTTTTAGAATGTGCACTAGGGCTCTGAGGCACAGCGCGGGGACATTGGCAGGTGTCAGGGCCTCTTTTCACCCGTGTCCCTCTGTGCAGACCAGCATGGGTGTCTCCCAAGCGAATGTGCCACAGTGACTTTTTTTTCCCTCCACTTTTCCCCTCTACAGAACATGCCAGACAAAAGTCAGCATCTGTGGAGACTGTTTATAAATCCGAGGCTTTCTTTTTTATGCAGAACTTTTTTGAGTCTTAGCAGATTATTATTTTAACTCCCCCACCCCCCCAAATGTTCTCTCCATATTTGGGCAAGCTAAGAGAGCAGAGGACTTTTTGTTTGTTTTTTTCATTTGAAACAGCTGAGTTTTGGAAAAGACGTCGGTTTCCTGGGCCTTCTCCCTCTCACGGTAACTCTGGGCTGAGTTTGTGGAATCAACTCTGCCGGCCTCTGATAAACTCCAGGCTCACAAACAATCACTGAACGAGAAATATCAGTCCATGAAAATTCTTGGAGGGAAACCTCACCTTTTACTCATGAGTTCCTTATCTCCGGGGCATCTCCTGTGCCCCGGAGATAAGGATCTGACTATCCACTCAGAGCTGAGAGGCCATCAAACGCCTCCCTCCCCACTTTACAGAGGGGAAACTGAGGCCCATAGAAGGGAACAGCGTGTTTCTTGCTGAGCACAGAATCTCTTCTAACATTTTTACCTAAAAATATTCAAATCTGTAGAAACATTCCCAGAACAATACAATGAATACGCATATTTACCAATTATTAACATTGTGCTGCATTTGTTTTATCTCTTACTCTCCCTCACCCTGAATACGTGCGTGCTAGTTTCACATACCGGGACACTTCCCCGCACAAGACTCCAGCATGTACCTTCTCCATAACCACAATGCAGTGGTCACACTTAGGAAATTTAACATCTAATCAATATTATTATTCAATACACATTCCATAACTCAAAATTTTCTCATTGCCATGCTAACTGTAATAGTGCCTGTTACAGGTTATTTGTTTTTATCCAGGTGCAGCCTTGGTCTCGCACCTATGAGCTGAAGGGGTCACACCAACAGTCTCCAAACAGCTCACAGACTCAGGACTTCAAAGTTTCCATGGCAGCACTTTCACTGGTTAACCCGGTTCATCTTCTCAAGAGCCCACTGAGTATCTGGTACCTAGTAGGGTTCCTATAAATAGTTTAGAAACTAGCGTCCCCATTTTACAGTACGGAGACTGAGGATCAAAGAGGGGTGGCTTGACCCCCCCAGGTCTCATTAGAAGAGAAGCTCTGGGAAAGCACCGATCAGGTCTCCGCACGCAGTAGGTGCTTTGGTAACGGCTTCTGCTCAGACCGATGTGCGCCCTGGGGCACTTTTGCAGGCCAGGAAGCCCGGGGCGGGGCGTATGCAAATAGCCCGCGAGAGACCGCGGATTGGCTGGCGCGGGCGGGGGCGGGGACAGGGCGCGCCGAGGGCCCTGGGCTGGCAGGTGCGCCGCGTGGGAGAGGCGCGGTGCACGCTGTCCCCCTGGACCTCCCGCCCCGCGCTGTCGCGGCTTGTCCCAGGCGATGCCTCCGCTCTGGGCCTTGCTGGCCCTCGGCTGCCTGCGGCTCTGCTCAGGTAAGCGGATGTTGAGAGGAGGGATCCTTGCCCAGGTTGGGCGGGCAGCTGTGTCCTGCACTCTGACCCTCCTCAGGAGTCCTGATAGGAGCCTGGATGGGAAGGGGCTTTGGGGATAGCACCCTCATTTATTCACTCCAGGAATAGACACGGATACCTGCTCTGTGCCAGGTCCTGTGCAGGCTCTTGGGGCCCAGATATGAATAATAACCAACACTGACTGACTAATAAATAAGCTTCCCCTGGTGGGAACTCCAGGGCTCATGGATGACAGAGCCCTGTGATGGATGCTGCAAAAGACAGACACACAGAGGACTGTGGGATAGCAGAGAAGCACTGCACTAGACTCATGGTGATTCCTGGACTGGGGAGATAAAGGAGCTTTTAGGTGAAGGAGTAGCTCGGCGGGTCAAGAGAGGAGGAAGTGGCATGGTCTATCTTGGGAACCTCCTGTCCATTGTCCATCCAGGTGGCTGGCGCTTGGGGTGAGAGAGGTGTGCATAGAGGTGAGACTGGAGGCCCAATAAAGCAAGGTCCAGAACTTCAGGACCTCGCTGCCCCGTCAGAGAGACTGGACTGCATTGGAGAGCAGTGGGGAGCCACAAAAGGGGCCTAGCAAGAGAGTGACAGGGTCAGATTCGCATGTTAGAGAGCAGGGCATGGGTGGAGGGCTTGTTACTAGGGTCCAGGCAAAGAGGGTGGGACTCTGAGGCCGGGTGGAGAGGTGCTTAGGAGGGGCAGTGGGGCTCTTGGCGATTGAATGTTTGCAGGGGGAGAGAGTGGGCAGCAGTTCGGCTGGACTGCCCGATTCCTGGCCAGGATGACCGGGTGGGAGCAGGGTGCTCTCCATGTCTGAGACACTTTCCTGAGATGACCCACATGAAATGTGAAGCCCAATGCCTGGCACAGAGCAGGTGCTCAGTAACTGTATGCAAACATGTGTGTGCATATGTGTGTGTGTGTGTTGGGGGAGGGCAAAGAATGCCCATAAGTGTGGACAGTTCTGCCAGGGGTCAGCTCCTGTCATTGCATCCACCAGGTGTGAACCTCCAGCCCCAAATGGCCAGCGTGACCTTTGCCACCAATAACCCCACCCTCAGCACCGTGGCCTTGGAAAAACCTCTCTGCATGTTTGACAGCACAGTGGCCCTCAGTGGCCCCTACCAGGTCTACCTCTATGTCTTGGTGGATTCAGGTGAGGAGCTGCTTCCTTCTGGGTATGCTGAAAGGGGCTTTGACCTGTCCGCAGGGCGGAGGGAAGGAGGCGGGTAGAGGGGTGCTTCCTCCCTGTAACTCATCTACCCCCATGCGGCTCAACAGCCTGCACTTGTGTCTGCTCTGTGCCAGCCCTGGGCTGGGGGCTGCAGTCACAGACATGGCCTTGCCCTGAAGGGACATCCAGTCTAGTGGGGGAAATCATAATGGCACGAATCACTGAGTACCTACATCATGCCAGGCACCTTGCACACCTTACAGCCAGCCTGCAAGGTAACTACAGTTGACCCTTGAACAACACGGTTTGAACTGCTTGGGCTCACTCATACATGGATTTTTTTCAATACTGTAAATGTATTTTCCTTTCCTTATGATTTTCTTTTCTTTTTAAGATTTTATGGGGGGAATTGGGGTAGGGGAACAGTGTTGAGGAATTGGGGAAGGGGAACAGACAAGTTGTCCTTCAGTCTTAGTTGTGGAGGGCGCAGCTAGCTCAGCTCCAGGTCCAGTCGCCATCCAGCCGCCTATCGGCAGCTCACATCCACTCAGCTCAAGGTGCTGTGTTTAATCTTAGTTGTGGGTGGGTGACCCACAATCCCATGAGGGAGTCAAACCGGAAACCTTGTTGTTAGGAGTACGTGCTCTCACCAGCTGAGCCATCCTGCCACCTGTTGGCAGCTCAGCATCAGCTCAGCTCAGGCGCAGCTCACTGGCCCCTGTGGGAATTGAACCAGCGACCCTGTTGCTCAGAACTTGTGCTCTTAACCAACTGAGCCACTCGGCAGCCCCTCATAATTTTCTTATTAATAACATTGTCTTTTCTCTCGCTTTCTTTATTGTAAGAATACAATACATATAAGATACAAAATATGTGTTAGCCGACTGTTCATGTTATCAGTAAGGCATCTGGTCAACAGTAGGCTATTAGTTAAGTTTCTGGGGGTCAAAAGTTATATTCAGATTTTCAACTGTGCCCCTAATCCCCGTGTTGTTCACGGGTCAACTGTATTATGATGTCCATCGCAGGGCAAAGAATCAAGGCTCAGAGAGGCGGATTCACTCACTGGAGTCCCCGGAACTGGAGAGCGAATCCAGACTCTCGATTGTCAAGCCCCAGTCCTGCCTGAGATGGCTCAGATGAGTGTTTTCGAGGGCTCCCACGTGTGTGGACCTGCTGGCCCCAGCCCAGCCCTCGCCCATTCACTAGAAGTAATCCTGGGCTTCCAGAGAGAAGGAACCCAGTGACAACCTCTTACCTTTCTAGAAACCAGCCACTTACAACCCCTCATTTAGGGTCCTTTTATTCTTCCAGCAAACATTTATTGACCTCCTACTTACCTGTGCCCAAGAGCTGTGGGCACTGTGGGGTATTTTTCTCCCATTTCACAGGCCAGGGTCAAGAGAGGCAAAGTGAGTTGTCCAAGATCGCTCAGCTAGCAAGGAAGAGACCTTGGGCCCACCATAGGTCTGCCTGCCTCCACGCTGTTTCCCCTGTACCATGTGGCCTCTTTTCCCATTTCACAGAAGACAGTCCGGTGAAGAAATGACAGTAGTCTGTTGGGGTGGGAGGGTTACAGGCCTGTGACGAGATGAGGTGGCTGAGAGCCGCACTCAGCGGTCGAAGCAGGAGAAGGGCTGCTGTCCATCACCCGCCATGCACTGGGTGCCCTTGAGAGCAGGGACTGAGCCTGCCCCGTACCTGCGCCCTGAGCACAGTGCTGGCTCAAAGAGAATATCCAGGGCCATTTGATGAATGACCGAGTGAGTGACCGAGCTGGGGTGGCCAGGAAGCTCACGCCCGACACTCTCTCTACAGCCAGCTCCAGGAATGCCTCTGTGCAGGACGACACCCAGACCCCGCTGAGCTCCACGTTCCAGCAAACAGACGGGGGGAGGACAGGCCCTTACAAGGCCTCCGCCTTTGACCTGGCCCCCTGTAGCGACCTGCCCAGCTTGGCTGCTGTAGGGGATGTGTCCCGGGCCTCCGAGATCCTGAACGCCTATCTCATCAGGGTGGGCACCAATGTGGCCTGCCTGTCTGACCCCAATTTCCAGAGCGTCTGCAACCCACCCCTGTCAGCGGCCACGGAGTACAGGTGAACGTGGGCAGCTGCGGGAAGGAGAGTGGCAGATGTGCCCCAACTCGGGAAAACCCAGAGCTGGTGAAGTGCGAGGCCACGTGTCTTGAGCGCTTGTTATGTGCTATGGACCATTCTGGGTCCCATGAAGGGCTTCCTGGTCATGTGACCAAGCACAGGGCCCCATCCTCAGAAGGGACCCCGCTTGGCTTAATGCTCTGCCATCTTGAAATTCTTAATTTTTTTAACAAGGGGCCCGAATTTTCATTTTGCACTTGGCCCCACAAATCATGCACCGGGTCCTGGCCCATCACCCAGGGGGGCACTCACCCCCCCCCGCATTCCCCCTCATTTAATAAGAAAGGAAACTGTGGTCCAGAGAGGGAAGGGGGTCACCTGGTGAAAAGCTGGGGCCCCACGTGAACTAGAGGCCCCCCCGAGGCCTTTCCAGCTACTACTTGATCCTTGGCTTTTTCCTGCCTCTCTCTGGTCGGGGCACATTTTTGTGGCCACCCCACCTCAGGGGGTCCCTCATTCATTTCCACAGGTCTTCTCACGCAGATCTCAGGCCTCAGCCCTGACCCATGGCTAGAGGGTCTTCTTACCTGGTGTCAAAGCCACTCCTGTTACCATGGAGATGCGTAGGTTGGGGTCTCTGTACCTTCTAGGCTGCCCTTGGGGGCCAGGCTGTCACTTATCTGCCATCCTCTCAGACAGTTTGCCCCTCCTTTGGCCTCAGTCCCCACCTCCTCTGTCCCACCCTCCACCGTCCCCTATGACCTTGTTCTTAACCTCTCCCTCCTCTTTGATGGCGAAGCCTACCCCACCTTGGGGACGCTAGCGCAGGTCCCAGCCTCTGGAACTCTTATTCAGACCTAAAGAAGTGGGGGATTTTTAGGCAAAACGCTGATTTTAAAGGTCTTAATTTTTTTTTCTGTGTTAAACTAGAGGGTATCAATTTCTTTCTATTAATTAATTAATTAATTTAAAGATTTTATTGGGGAATCAGAGAAGGGGAACAGACAAGTTGCTGTCTTTTTTTGTTCTTCAGTCTAGTTGTGGAGAACGTCGCTTCACTGACCCATGTTGGTATTATCATTACGCTCTTCCTGGGTGAGGCAAATCGCTCGCTGGCCATTGGACAGCAGCTCACGCCAGCTGCCGGCTGCTCACGCTGGCTGCCAGCCACACATGGTAGCTCATGGCAGCCCACTGCAGCCCCACTGCAGCCCTGCTGCAGTCTACACAGACTCCGGCGATTCAATGATAGCCCAGCTCCAGGTTGAGCTGTTGTTCACCATCTTAGCTGTAGAGGGCGCAGTGTCACTGGCCCTCATGTGGGATCCAAACTGGGGCCCTGCTGCTCAGAGCTGGCGTCCCAAGCCAGCTCTTAGCCAATGCGCCACTTGGCCAGCCCTATTTATTTATTTTTTAATTTTTTACTTTTGTTGGGGAGGGGGAAGTTTGAAGGGACAGAAGTTTGGTGCTGGGAGCTTAGGATATAAGGTAAAAGCAATTGGACTCTCTGGGGAAGGAGTATGGCCCCAGGGTGATGGGAAAACACAGCGGAAGGGTGAAGTGGGGAGAGAAAGAGTAGTGGGTGGGCTGGAGGGGACCTGGAGCAAGAGAAAAAAAAATAAGGAACACTTCACGAATTTGGGTGTCATCCTTGTGCCGGGGCCATGCTGACCTCCTCTGTATCTTTCCAATTTTAGTATATGTGCTGCCGAAGTGAGCACGAGGCTGTCAGTTTCTTAGGTCTCAGAACATCCATCATTTTAAACAGGCCTTAACTTGGCCATGAGTATTTTGTACTGTATCGCCTGGCTTCCTCTATGATTTGTAATGCTCAATTGGGATTATCTGCATGTAAAATGGAGCCCTTATTCCACAGCAGCAGGAATGGATATTATTATTTTTTAAGTCTTTTTTTTGGTGATTCCAAGGACCAAGCTGGGAATAATGGAAGACAAAAACGCGAGGAGGACAAATGGGTCAAGACTCAGCAAACAGGCTACGTGTGTGTGTGTGTGTGTGTGTGTGTGTACATACATACAGAGGGTGCCAAAAAATGTATACACATTTTAAAAAAGGAAAAAACCATACTAAAATTATGCAGACGGTAACCACTTTGAGCACCTCTTGTAATTGCAGAAGTCAAACTTGACTTGTATTCATCTTTTGTTATCGGTATATATTGACTATTACAATTTTAATATAGTTTTTTCCTTTCTTAAAATGTGTATATATTTTTTGGCACCCTGTGTGTGTATATATATCTATATATACACACACAATAGAGAAACAGAGGGGGCTCCCAGAGGGAGAGCCTGGAGGAGGGCCACGGACGTTGAAGGCTTCCTGGAGGAGGCGGCATCAGAGCCTGGCAAGGGTCTGGGGCAATAATACGTGGCAACGGTGCTGATGCTAAGTCCAGCGCTGTCCTGTTGCCCGGAGCCCACTGTCGCCGCCCAGATTTCTACCTCCTGGAAGTCCTCACTTTGTCCTCCACCCCACCATCAGAATCTCTCCGACCTCGCTGTGGCCGGAGCTCACAGGATGGGTGGAAGTCATCCTCACTCCGTCTCCTTCCAGATTCAAGTACGTCCTCGTCAACATGTCCACGGGCTTGGTACAGGACCAGACCCTGTGGTCGGACCCCATCCGTACCAACAGGCGTAAGTGGTGAGGGTGGGCTGGGGGTGGTCCTCAGGGGAACCTGGGAGAGCAGACTCAGGCTGTCACCTGAAAAGCCTCCCCAGACACAGCCAGGCCACTGGGCTATGAGGAAAATGCATCTGAAAATAATTTCACCAGAAACTTCATCCTTCCCTCCTTACCTCCTTCCTTGAGGGCCAGGTGCTGTAACAAAGGAAGGGGGAGGATTGCTGGTGTTTGGGCCTGGCTGGATGGGTGTGGCTACAGCCAAAGTCGGGAGGCTTCCCAGCCCTCACAGTGCGTTTGCCTCCAAGGGGTGTGCAGTTGAGCAGTTCTGAAAGGTCACCAGAGGTCACGCAGCTAGTGGGGGGTAGTGAGGCCTGTGTGTGGCCCAGGCAGCTCTAGAGACACCATTACTCTGCAACTGACGGAGAGTCCTGAATACCAGCCTAGCCTCTGAACCCTGCTGCTGTGTGAGCCCTGCAGGACCTGTTTCCACATCTGAGAAGTGGGAAGAAGAATCCTTGCTCGGCCTCCCCAGCAGGGTTCCTTTGGGTATTTTAGACAAAAGGGCTAGGCCAGCTTTCGGGGCAGGGCCTGAGGTCAGTGGGGTCAGTGAGGTCAGGGCCAGAGCGTGCCCTTTGGGGCCAGACAGACCTATTGGCTTGAGTCTGGCATCTGAGTGCCTTTGAACTCAGTCTCCCTAAGCTGCAGCAGGCAAACTGCAGAACAGGGGTCTTGCGGGCTCTACATGGGACAATGGCCAGAAAGGGGCCAGCTCACAGTAGGACATTTATTTGTTTACTTTGTTTCAAAAGTGTGACACTGGCCAGAGCAGAGGCAGGGCCACGGTCCAGCTGGTTCTCGCCTTTGCTTCACCTTTAATAGTTTATAATCTACATCCCTTCCATCTCACCAGAAGACTGGAGTCAGTTTATAATTGAAAATTATGTGCAAAGACAGTTAAAAGAGGAACAGACCAGACACACAGGAGAAAGCTGGGAAGTAGGACGTGGGGGCAAGCAAGATAATTGCACCTCAGCGCTGGGGGGAGACGGTCATGGAACTGGGTCCCCACTTCATCCCTGGGACTTGCAGCCACCAGTGCTGGGGGGACTCTGTGCATCCCTGTAAGAAGGCTGAGGGTGCAGTGTCTTGGGAGTAATGGGCCTGTGTCCCGTCAGTCACCCCGTACTCGGTAATCGACACGTGGCCGGGCCGGCGAAGTGGCGGCATGATCGTGGTCACCTCCATCCTGGGCTCCCTGCCCTTCTTCCTGCTCCTGGGCTTTGTCGGTGCCATTGTCCTCAGCCTCATGTGAGTACCGCCAGCTGGAGGGTGGGGCTGGGCGGACACACTAGACCTGCTCCATGGGGAGGGTCTCTGAGGCAGGGGAGAGCCCTGCAGGCAAAGGAATTGCTTTCCACCCTGGGTGAGGTGGGGTCCGGTGAGCGGGAGCTGAGTCTTGGGGCATTCAAGGTCAAGGTCAGCTGGGTAGGGAGGGGCTTTGTGGGCAGATCCCAGGTCTGACACTTAACAGCTGCACAACCTTCGGCGCGTATCCTCCTATGCCTCAGGTTCCTCCTCTGTAAAATGGAGATACTAATAAATATTATCCACCCCACAGAGTTGTGAATGTTCAGTGAAATAATCCCTATAGAGTCCTCAGGGCAGTGCCCAGGCACTGAACAAGAGTCAGCTTTTGTTGTCATTCTGATTCACCCACTTGCAGTACAGATGGGGAAATTGAGGTCTGAGGAAAGGAAGCACGGCCCAAGGTCACACAGCCAGTTAAAACCGAGCTGGGACCAGAGCCCCAGTGTCCTGGCCCCACTAACAGCTCGGATTTGTGTCTGTTTGGATGGATTAGGACTCCAGGCCTCTGTGGGGTGTCTGGAGCAGCTGACAGGGCTGCCTGGTAGGGAGACAGGCGTGTCCACAGCCCAGATCCTGCCTGGAGTATCAGGGTGGGTTTCCTGGAGGGAGGAATACAGGAGCCAACTCTCCTCAGGACAGGGATGGGTGGAAGTCACATGCAGTGTGCTTCTCAGCGGCAGAGGGAGCTCCAGGGGACTTGGAAGCTCAAGAGGGGTGCTCGTCCCAGCGGGAGTGAGGAAGCAGGTGGAAAAGCTGCTTAGAATCGGTGATATTAAGTGGACATGTAGAAATTAGCCAGGCAGGAAAAGACGTGGGAGGGTCGGGGATGGGAAGGGGGGCAGTGAACTTGGAAATCATGCTGAACCTCTGACATTTGAATTAAAATCACCAATAATAGATGAGATCAGCCACCAAAAGGCTGGTCTGCCTGGCCAGACCTGGGAGCAGTCAGGACAGGGTTTTGTCCTTCTGTCCCTTTGGGCAACACCCTAACCTGGCTCTGAAGGTCCTGTTAGCTGACTTAGCCTGGTTCTTCCATTTACTCCTCCAACCATCCCCTGCCCAGCTCCAGCTGCACCAAACTTCCCACTGTTGCCCCATTGACACTCCCCAGCTATGCTTATCAAATGTTTGGAATGCCTTTCTACGCCCCCATTCTTAACTGCTCCCTCCTCCAGGAAGCCCTCCTGTGGCTCCCACCTGGATTTGTCCATTCTGTCTGGTCATTGTCTGCCTGGTCCATCTCCCCATACAATCTTAGCTCTTTAGGGACATGGGACAATGGACTCCAAGTATCCAGCTTATGGTAAGACCTGTAAATTGCTTGCTCACGTAGTTCCAAAAGAGTGACACTTTCCTTATCCCAGGGCCTGGCACACAGTAAGTACTCTGGAAAGATTGGTTTATTGAATGAATGCCTAAAAGGACATCTGTGAAAGCAAAGTCTAAATAGAAAGGTTCCTGACCAGCTAAAGGGGTTTAGGCTTGATCTGTGCCCCTAACCCTGGTTCTCTTCATCCCCTTGGTCAGAGACATGGGCGGTTCTGATGGGGAAACCACGCATGACTCCCAGATCACGCAGGAGGCCGTCTCCAAGTCCCTGGGCACCTCGGAATCTTCGTACACATCTGTGAACCGAGGGCTACCCCTGGACAGGGCAGAGGTATATGCCAGCAAGCTCCAGGACTGAGCGGGCTCCATTCCTGGAAGGCAGCCTTCTCCCCTGACCCCACCCCAGGTGAAACTGCCTGTTGGTCCAACTGCAGGAAAACTTTTAATAAAATCTTCCCCAGAATTTGAGTTCAATAAAGATTTACAGAACAAATGTGTGAGACAATAAGTGAATGAATAAATGAGTCTGTGTGGTATTGAGGGGTTAGATTGTTTTCTAGAGGGCGGGGGCCGGGGACTAATTTTCAGTTAAAGCGAAGGTGGTGAGGGCTGAAAGGATCAGGGCTGTGAGAACACCTGGTTGTCTGACCTCCTCGTGTGAAGTGGGGAAATCAGCACCTTTTCCCGATCGCCTCACGGGAGTGTTAGGGGTCCCGTGAGACTGGCTGTACGTGCAGCTGTTGGACAGTGTTTGGGGTTTGCTGGCTGCGAGGCACTAGAAACCGAACTATGCCCTGGGTGCCACTCTACTGGCAACTCGTCTTGTCAAACCCCCTCTCCATCATCTCTTTCTGGGGTTCAGCTTCCTCATCTGTGAAATGGACTGATGTAAACTGTTCATTTCAAGGCCACAAACGCCTGAGTTCCTTCACAGCTTTCCTGTCCCAGTGGGAGGGCAGGGCAGAAGAGGCTACAGGACACAGAAGAGGGCACCAAGTCTGCTTGGGGACGAAGGGGCTCTCCAGCCCTGGGTCTCCACTCGGATGACTCAATTCTGTCTTCTGAGCCAGGTAGCAACACCGCTTCCCTTTTGCAGATGTGCAAAACAAGCCGCAGTCCCACTTCTCATCACCGAAAAAAGAAGTTTATTGGGTTTGGTTAAGGCAGGAGCACTAGCCGCCAGCTGTCAGGAAACTGCCCCAGCAGCTGATGGGGTGTTCCGGGGGCACCGGTGGTTCTCCTGGGGCACGGATGCCGACACCTGCACAGATTGACAAGAGGGGGATCCAAAGCTGAGAAGGCAGGCGGCAGGGGCCGTGAGAAGAAACCGAAGAGCAGAGAGCGGTCAGGAGAAGCCAAAGCAGTTGATGGTCAGCCAGGGTGGCTGGAGCTGCAGGCGCTGAAAGGAGCCAGTCCCTGGGTTGTGGGGACAGGAAGAGGGAATGGTGGGTGCCGCTTCTGGGAGGACACCCAGCCTGGGTGTGCCGGACACCCCTGGGGTCCTCAAGACTGGCTTGGGGAGCCCTGGAACTCCCGCCTCCCCAGTCGCGGCACATCCTCCCCAGAGCCCCGCCCCCTTTAGGGCGGTCCTGCTGGCTCTCCTCCCCGCCTCCCCTGGTCGGTGGGAAGCCTCCTGGAAGTCTGTCCTTGTCACAGATTCATGCAACTTTGCATTCTCTTTTATAGCATGCCTGTATTTATTTTCATGTTTAAATTGAGGTAAGATTCTCACAACATAAAATTAACCACTTTAAAGTGAACAGTTCAGTGGCCATTTAGTAAATTCTCAATGCTGTGCACCCACCACTTCTAACTCGTTCCAAAACGTTTTCCTCACCAGAAATGGAAACCCCAAACCCCATGCCTATTAAGCAGTTACTCCCCATTGCCCCAAGCCCCTGACAATCACCAATCTGTTTTCTGTCTCTATTTTGGATTCATCTACTCTGGACATTTCATCTAAATGGAATCGTACACTATGTGACCTTTTGTGCCTGGCTTCTGTCACTGAGCATAAGGTTTTTGAGGTTCATCTACATTGTAGCACGTATCAGTACTTCATCCCTTTTCACGGGTGAGTAATATTCCATTTCCTGGATGTGTCATTCGTGGTTGATTGACACTTGGGTTGTTTTCACCTTGGGCTATTGTGCCACTATTTGGCTTCTTAGAACAGTGCTGCTATGAACAGGCATGTTTGTGTATTTGTTTGCACACCTGTTTTCAGGTGTCTCGGGTATATACCTAGGAGTGAATGGCATTGCTGGGTCATATGGTCATTCTATGTTTAACTTTTTGAGGAACTGCTAAACTGTTTTCCACAGCAGCTGCACCATTTTGCATTCCTACCAGCAATGCAGCCTGTATTTGTTTTAATATCAAATATGCTGGAGCACAGTGGTTGCTGTGGAGAAGGCCCCCTATTTATTCTATAGGTTTGGGCGTCCCTTGGTCTGGATCCATCCCCCAAATTGAAAGGCAGGAACTCCAGGAAACCTGAGCACCGTTCTGTTAGCAGCAGCCACCCCTCGTGGGAGTAGCTGGTCAGTGGTTGCCCCCTTGATGCCGAGTCTAGCCCTCTTTCCACTGGCTAATCGAGGCCCCAGGGAACGTGAGCTTCCAGCTACTGAGAGACTTTACCAACTGCTCATGACACAAAAGCTAAAGGGAGTAAATTGGTTGAACATATAGATAAGCAGCTGTTTCAGGGCCGTGAGGAAGTGAGCCAATGAATGACCGTTCCATCCATTTGCTCCGGCAGGACCCAGCTCCCTTGAGGATGAGTCTCGTCTCCCCAGAGGGCATCAGCTCCCTGTTCTGGCCCCGTGAGATGCCACTGGGAGAGGCTGCTGATGTCCTGGGTGAAGCTCAGCCCCTCTGGAATCAAACAAGTCTGACTTACCTGTCAGCCGAGAGACCTTGGGTGAGCCACTTCATCTCCTGCGTTTCCTCATTTGTGAGAAAGGGGCCATGAGCGGAACACAGCCTCTGTGAGGTCATGAGGGCAGAACGGAATGGTACTTGTCAGCCCTCGTGATCGCCTCTCCCTCCATCACAGCACCGCCTTGCTCTCAGTTGTAATTGTTTGAAGCAGTGTCTTAGGCTGAGCTGGAGGGCAGGTTAAAGGTCGGATCCTTTTCTGTGAGACCCCTGCACTCCCCAGCTCAGCGCGTGGCAAGGGGAGAAAGGAGTCTGGCAAAAGGGAGTCAAGTGTGACTTCTGGGTTTGGGGACGGGGCCACTGAGTACCTGGTGGTGCCCTCAACCAAAATGGGGACAAACAGGTTGGCTTGGAGGAATCAGGACTCTGGGGGAAAGTGAAATGTAAGCGGCTTATGACGTAGCAGGCGGGGCTGAGTAATAGGCGGTGGGTACCCAGGTCAGCAGCAGCTCTGGGCGACAAAAGGGCTGCAGATATCATACTTGGCAGGGTTAGAGTGGGACTGATGCAGTTACCCCCAATTATTCGCTGCCCCTCACTTTTAAAGGTCTATACTTGCTCTGCCCATTGTCATCAGGCCCCCGCCATGGCGTGAGCTGGGGGCCACTTCTGAGCAGCTATAATAAGAACCACTGGATGGTTCCCCATCACCCTTATCCCTTCAGCATAAGAAATACACCCCGTGGTGGTGGTAGTGGGGGGCGCTCTGAGTCCGCCTGGGCCCCTGAATGAAGGAGCCACGTGGAGCAGAACCACAGCTGTCAAAGCAACCAGGAAATAAACCTTGTGCTGTAGCCCCCTGAGATCCTAGGGCTGGTTGTCCCTGTGGGCGGCGGGGAGGGGAGCAGCTCTGAGCCTGTGCCACCCTTGCACGTACCCACATCGGCCCCTTAGGCTTCCCCACAGCTGCTCTTGAGTCTTGGCGGAATGCCCTGTGATTCTCCCAGGACAGGGACGCTCAGGAGGTCTGCTAGTTGCTGCCACAGGCTGTGTGCCACCAGCCTCCACTTCTTCCCACGAGGCTGCTGTGAGCCAGTTTCCCACACGGTTCAGATGAGCTGGGGGGCTTCCTGCCTCGCCTCTTCCCGGCTTGGGGTGAAGCTGCAGAACCGCTTACCTGCGGCCCCTGCACGGTGCCCACCACTTTGTGGCCCCTTTTATTTCAGCATCAGCCTGTGGGATGAGGAATGCAGGCAGCTGGGGCCTTTGCTCTCTTGCTGTTGCCGTGTGAGTCGCACAAGAACTCTCAGTTTCTGTTTGTTTATCACCAGCCGTTAGCCTGGCCTTGACAATCATATGGCAGCATAACTAAGCAAGGCTTTCGGGGGGGGGGGGGCAAAGGAAGGACAGCCAAAGAGGCAGGAAGAGAACTCACTGGAGAGCCGCCCCTTACCCCCCCAAACCCACTCTGTGACCCCATTCTGTCTCTGGCATCTGTTTTCTTCCTCGGTCACAGAACCTCGCTGTCACTCTGACAGTGACAGTGCTACTCAACCCCCGCACTTTTGCAGACAAAACAGCCCCTCCTCCTTCCAATGTGGCTCCCACTCAGATGCAGCCCCAGGGAGGGGGGTATACTGTCATCTTTCAGAGGGTGAGTTTGGATTCTGGGGGTGGGGGGTGGGAGGCAGAGGAGCAAGCCTTTGCCAAGTTCCAACCAGCTCTACCCAATCTGTGCAGAAGGAGCCAAGCTGGTGGGCGGGGGGTGGGTGGGAGATGCTGGGCTTGACTCATGGGCTCTGGGCTGGACTCAGGCTTCACAGAAACTTCTAATTTTAAATACCCACAGAAGCCATTTTTCTAGCTCGCTTCTCAGATTCTCAAGGATCCCTCCTCCCATGGCTGAGAGGGCAGGGCCTTCAGAGCTGAGCTTTCCGCCTCTACACGAGGCTGTTTCACTTCCCTCCCACCCCAATCATGGTTCACCAGTTAGCCAATCACAGTAGACATGCTGTGTGATGTGGGGCAAGGAAGTAACCTCTCTGGGCTCCCCTGACCTCATGTGTGCAAAGAGGGTCAGAATGCTTGGGAAGGCTGCTCCAAAATAGGTGATTTTTTTCCCCTGAGATCCCATCAATCACAAAGGGATGCCATTCAATTCAATCCAATGGGACCCTGAGCCCCAGGCTTAGGAAACCTTGGAGCCACCCGTCTGGATGGAAGAACAGGAATGCACAGAGGGAGTCAGAGCAGAGCCTTGCACAGAGAATGGTCTGGCTTTCAACACACAGGCCAGGTTAGAGGTGCTGTAGGAATCCAGAGGTAGGACTTCCTCCCCACTCCCTCCCAACCAGGGCTAGACATAGTTGGGAGGACTTCCTGGAGGAGGTGGCACTTCTCTCAGATCCCTACAACTTGTAACCCAGAGCTCCTGAGGCCAGAGGTCATGTCTCACAGCCCTGTTACTGGTAGACAGATGCTCAGTAAGTAGGAACAAGTTCCTGGGGTATCAGGAATATCATTCTTACAACTCCTTTTAAAAATTATTAATTTTAACTTTTACAGACACGCATGCATACAGTCTGCTTAACAAGAAAGAAGAGAAGGCCTCAGTCCTGTGCCCTGTGCATTCCTCAGGAGAACCATGGTTACCGATTCAATGAGTCTCCCTCCAGCCTCCTCTGCAGAGCCCTCCACTTGGCAGGAGAGGCACCCACTGTCACTGTTCTCCCTCTTTTTTGGGCCGTGTGACAATCCAGGGATGGACATGGAAATGGCCAAGAAGCCCGGGCTGGTGCTCTAGCCTTGTTTGCCCAGCTCTTCCCCAATGCCACCTTTGGAGGACGTGGGGACACCTCTGCCCCTGGGAGCTCAGGAACACCCACCCACTGGGCTGGGAACAGCACCCCTCAGGGAGCCCCTGCTCCCCATCTCCCCATTGGGGTCCTATCTCATTCTCCAAAGCTCGCTCTCTCCTCTCAGCTCCAGTGAACCCCATCATTGTAAGACAACCCCAGGCCTCAGAACACAGAAGGACGATAACTTGCCAGGGGCACCCATTCCTCACCACACTCTCCCCTTGTCCACCTTAACTTTTCCACTTTATCGAACTATAATTGACATACAGTGAGCTGCACCTATTTAAAGGGTCTATGTGATGAGTCCTGACAAATGACTAAGCCACCACTGCAAGGGAGATGACGGACACCTCTATCTCCCCCCTCCCCCCAAGTTTCCCTCCTGCCCCTCCCCACCCCTCACTGATCTGACACTAGAGATGAGTTTGCATTTTCTAAAATGTCATATAAATGGAACCACATGGTGTGTCCTTTTATGGCTTCTCTCTACTCATCATATTTATTTTGAGATTGATCATGGTGCCTGTATCAGTCTTTTGTCCCTTTTGATTGCGGAGGCGTGTTCTGTTGTATGAACGTTCGCCAATTTGCTGATCCATCATTCACCTGTTGACCATGCGGGGTGGTTCCAGTTTGGGGCGGTCA